AGTCTTAAGACTTTTGGTGAATAAAGAACTTGAACTTGAACTTGGCAGTCGCCATGCATGCAGGTACTGGCGTCGGTGGTTTTCAGTCTCAGGGACATCAGGCCTTCCTCCACCACCAAAAAACCTGGCACGTCCTCAAATGACCAGAGCTGTTGATAGGACGTAAAACACAAACAAACCAAATAAATATAAGAAAACAATTTAATATTCTTATATTACGCACTTATATATTATATACGCATACCCTCCGTTTAACCAGAACAGAATCTCCTTTGCTAAAGGAAGCTCTATAAAAATGGTTAAATCCCTCCAATTGTACTGAAGGAGAAGGATTTTAAAGATGTTACTCATGCAAGTTCCCCGATTGGGCACTATATACCTCTGCCCCAAGGGGTCATACCCTCCCTTTATACAAAATTGAACCCCTTTGCCAAAGGATGCTCTACACAAAACTTAGTTTAAATCCCCTAATCGTATGGAAGGAAAAGGATTTTTGAAGATTTATCTAAAGTTTCCCTATTTGGTCCCGCTCATCTGCCCCCTCCCACCGAGACACATCCTCCGTTAATACAAAATTGAGTCCCCTTTTGCGCAAGGATACTCTAAAATAGTTTTGTTAAATCCTTCCAGTCAAACTAATGGAAAAGGATGTTAAACATTTGTTATTATTTTCCTCCTATATTGTGCTCCGCCCCTCTGCCTCCAGGGGCCCATCACCCTCAATTTATACAAAATTGGGTCACCCTTTCCAAATAATGCTCCAGGCCAAATTTAGTTAAAATCCTTCCGTTTTGAGGGAACGTTGACGGACGGACGGACGGACGCCGCGCCATGGAATTAGCCAAAAACCGAGAAAATAGAAGGAAAGACAAGGGAAATATTAGAAAAAATAATAATAACAACGGCTGTTTTTCCTGTTTAATAAATTAATTGAGAAAAAAATCATGTTTTTAGAAGCTTTGCTTATTTTCCAATTTCAATGATGATAAAGGGACTTGGGCAAGTCTGCGAAGTTGCAGTTGGTTGTGTGTATTTTGGCGTCTGCAGCAGTAGTAAAAAGTATAAATAGTGTATGTTGTCCAATCTGTTAAGCACATTTCCTCAGATAGCATGGGTTCTGCGGAGAGAGATCGTCTGAACCAAGATAAACTTCGGGAGAAGGACTGGAAAAGATGGGGACCGTATCTGTCCGAGCGACAGTGGGGGACAGTCCGGGAGGATTATTCAGAGGACGGAGACTGGTAAGTAGGCCTAGTGGGGGATGACCTACTAAAGTACTCACCTAGACATTTAGCCTACCTAGTATTACATTTAGAAACGTGACCTGGTTTACATACAGGCTAAACTATATGCATTGTTTGTGCTAATGTAACCTCTAACAAGTCGTATTCTAATTAACACAGGGACTTGACGTCTATTGTATCATGGGCAATACGTTTACTTGTAATTAACAGGCCGAATGTATAGTCTGTTATTGATATATTTTTCATGGAAATTGGATTGTTTTTAATTGAATTTTGCACATAATTCTTTCTAACTTAGTTTTTAATAATTAAGAAAAACATTAAGTTTTAGGTCTAATTTGAAAAGATAGAGGCATGGGATCCCGGAGTGTATTTAGGGTTAAAATGAACGCCTTAAACAGGTCCCCACCTAATTTTCTCTAATTGTTGATGCAGAAACAAATATATATTTCTGATGGGTGTACAAATACATTGATACCATATCTACTTGCACCGTCATATATTGGGTTTGGCATTTTAACGCGGTGTTGACTTACACCAGTAAATGTTCAATTAAATAACACCCTCTACGTATACACATCAAGACAGGTCCTAACATACATATACTGTTGTATTTATTGTAAGATCCCCGTGGTTGAGCCCATCTAGTGATGATTTGTGGTACCAACCTTACGTGAGTGACATATGCCCATTAATTGTAGCAGCATTTTTAGCCATTTATTTGCGTATTTTCTCACATAACATGCATTCTGTAGACAAAAAGTATACATACACAGTATATAGATTGTGTGTACCGTCATATTTACCCTACCTACATCTGCTGTTGTTGTTAAGGTTAGCGTCTTTTGTTAAAGATGTACAGCCACCGTACGTGAGGATTTATTATTTGTAACATAGGCCTAGCAACAGCTTGTGCTTTTTCTTCTTAAACGTCAAGAGATTGATACATTGATTGGTTTTACGGATGCTTCACTACCGAGTATATATATATATATATATATATATATATATATAGTGTTCGGTTACTCAGCAGACGAAGAAAAAAGACAGGGGAATGAGTAGAAGGGATAAAGCATGGAATGAAGGAATAGAAAAAGGGGACAGAGTTAAGAGAAGTATTATCTGGTCTTATAATACCAAAATGAAAAGGCATGGGGTCACCTGCCCGACTACGTGGGTTTTCTCCGGGTACTCCGGTTCCCTCCCAAAATCAGACCCCCGCGCGCTAACAATTGTTTGTTTGTTTGTGTTTTACGTCCTTATAACAGCTATGGTCATTTAAGGACATGCCAGGTGGTGGTGATGGTGGTGGTGGTGGAAAGACAGAGTTCCCGGAGATAAACCACCAACCTACGTCCAGTACCTGGCGACTGCCCCATGAAGGTCTCGAACCCGCGACCCAGCGGTGGAGGGCTAGTGGTAGCAGTTGACCACTTGGTCACCGCGGGGCGCGCTAACATCCCAGCCAACAAGAGTTATTAATATAAGTTGAAATAACATGTTTCATAGCTGTTGTAAAATAAATAAAGTTTATATCCTGTAATCCAAGGCGTCGGTACACAGGCATCAAATATATTGGAATCGGGGAAATGCATCCAACAAATTGTGATAGATAAATAAAACAAACAAACACACGGAAAACCATTGCTTAAGACATATGTTCAGAAGACCAATCGATGTGGCAGTTTATTCAAGTATAGTACATGTATTATAATTTCACTCTGTGACGTTATACATTTTTCGTCGATTTATCAGATTTTCATTTCGCTTAGACAAACGTTAGTGTGTAACAAAAGGTCACAACATATGTACAGCAAACTTTAAACATAGCCACAGCAAAATGTCAAACGACGAATACAAAATGTTATTCATTTTTTATTTGAGTTGTTTAAAGTCTACGTACATGTGACACAACGCGCAGATTCGACACTGAAACTAAAATTCTGGTGAAAAGAAGTTCTACAGACAACAGACATCTATATTTTCGACATATTTTCCTGATGCGTGTTTGTTATAAATTTTTTATCATACATTTGTTAAATATTACAAAAAACACCTTACACCAGATCAAAAACGAGACTTGAACGTAATTGAAACCTCAGAAGAGTACATCCTTAAACCACTTATGAGTCATAAATGGACGAACAGATCATATGGTGCAGTAACACGTTTACTTTGATTGACTTCCTGCATCAATATGTACAAACAAAATATCTTGAAACAGATGATTTTTTTCACATCGTATTTCTATCGATTATTTTACATAGGTCCTCTCTCAACTTACCCTAGTACTATCCCAGCTTACACTGGTCCTATCCCAAATTACACTAGTTCTCTCTCAACTTACTCTGGTCCTAACCCAAATTAAACTAGTCCTCTCTCAACTTACACTGGTACTAACCCGATTTACATCGGTCCTCTCTGAACTTTCACTGGCCCTAACCCAAATTAAACTAGTCCTCTCTCAATTTGCGCTGGTCCTAACCCGACTGACATCGGTTCTCTTTCAACTAACACTGGTCCTAACCCGACTTACAATGGTCCTCTCTCAACTTACATTTGTCCTCTCTGAACTTTCACTGGTCCTATCCCAAATTACACTAGTTCTCTCTCAACTTACTCTGGTCCTAATTCGACTTACACCGGTCCTCTCTGAACTTACACTGGTCCAATCCCAACTTACACCGGTCCTCTCTGAACTAACACTGGTCCAATCCCAACTTACACTGGTCCTATCCCAAATTAAACTAGTCCTCTCTGAATTTACACTGGTTCAATCCCAACTTAAACTGGTCCTAACCCAAATTAAACGAGTCCTCTCTCAATTTGCACTGGTCCTACCCCAACTTACAACGGCTCCCTCTCAACTTACACTGGTCCTAACCCAAATTAAACTAGTCCTCTCTGAATTTTCACTGGTCCTATCTCAAATTACACTGTCTCTAACCCAAATTACACTAGTTCTCTCTCAACTTACTCTGGTCCTAACCCGACTTACACCGGTCCTCTCTGAACTAACACTGGTCCAATCCCAACTTACACTGGTCCTAACCCAAATTAAACTAGTCCTCTCTCAACTTGCACTGGTCCTAACCCGGCTTACATCGGTTCCTTCTCAACTTACACTGGTCCTAACCCGACTTACACTGGTCCTAACCCAAATTACACTAGTCCTCTCTCAACTTGCACTGGTCCTAACCCGGCTTACACCGGTCCTCTCTGAACTAACACTGGTCCAATCCCAACTTACACCGGTCCTATCCCAAATTATACTATTTCTCCCTCAACTTACACTGGTCCTATGCCAACTTACACTGGTCCAATCCCACCTTACACTGGTCCTATCCCAAAGGACACTGGCCCTAACCCAAATTAACCTAGTCCTCTCTCACCTTGCACTGGTCCTAAGCCGACGTGCACCGGTCCTCTCTGAATTTACACTGGTCCAATCCCAACTTACCCTGGTCCTAACCCGCCTTACACCGGTCATCTCTGAACTAACACTGGTCAATCCCAACTTACACTGGTCTTAACCCGACTTACACAGGTCCTCTCTGAACTTACCCTGGCCCTAACTCGACTTACACACCGGCCCTCTCTGAACTTACACTACTGGTCCTAACCCGGCTTACATCGGTTCCTTATCAACTTACACTGGTCTTAACCCGACTTACACAGGTCCTCTCTGAACTAACACTGGTCAATCCCAACTTACACCGGTCCTATCCCAAATTATACTCACTGGTACTAACCCGACTTACAATGGTCCTCTCTCAACTTACATTGGTCTATTGTGAACATTCATTGGTCCTATCCCAAATAACACTGATCCCTACCCAAATTACACCAGTCCTCTCTCAACTAGCACTGGTCCTAACCCTACTTACACCGGTCCTATCCCAAATAACACTGATCCCTACCCAAATTACACTAGGCCTCTCTCAACTTACATTTGTCCTCTCTCAACTTACATTGGTCGTTTCTGAACATTCATTGGTCCTATCCCAAATTATACTCACTGGTACTAACCCAAATTACACTGGCCCTAACCCCAATTATACTAGTTCTCTTTCAACTTACACTGGTCCAATCCCAGCTTACACTGGTCCTAACACGACTTACACCGGTCCTATCCCAAATTATACTATTTCTCCCTCAACTTACACTGGGCCTAACTCGACTTACACACCGGCCCTCTCTGAACTTACTCTGGACCTGTCTCAATTTACACTGGCCATGTCTGAACTAACACTGGTCCAATCCCAACTTACACTGGCCCTAACCCAAATTCAACTAGTCCTCTCTCAACTTACATTGGTCCGTTCTGGACATTCATTGGTCCTATCCCAAATTAAACTAGTCCTCTCTCAATTTGCGCTGGTCCTAACCCGACTTCCACCGGTCCTCTCTCAACTTACATTTGTCCTCTCTGAACTTTCACTGGTCCTAACCCTACTTACACCGGTCCTATCCCAAATTACACTAGTAAATTACACTAGTTCTCTCTCAACTTACATTTGTCCTCTATGAACTTTCACTGGTCCTATCCCACATTACACTAGTCCTCTCTCAACATGCACTGGTCCTAACCCTACTTACACCGGTCCTATCCCAAATTATACTATTTCTCCCTCAACTTACACTGGTCTTAACCCGACTTACACAGGTCCTCTCTGAACTTTCACTGGGCCTATCCCAAATTACTCTAGTCTTCTCTCAACTGACACTGGTGCTAACCCGACTTACATCGGTTCTCTCTCAACTTACATTTGTCCTCTCTGAACTTACTCTGGACCTGTCTCAATTTACACTGGCCATGTCTGAACTAACACTGGTCAATCCCAACTTACACTGGTCCTATGCCAACTTACACTGGTCTTAACCCGACTTACGCCGGTCCTCTCTGAACTAACACTGGTCCTATTCCAACTTACACTGGTCCGATCCCAAATTACACTAGTTCTCTTTCAACTTACACTGGTCTTAACCCGACTTACACCGGTCCTCTCTGAACTTACACTGGTCCTTACCCGACTTACACCGGTCCTCTTTCAACTTACACTGGTCTTAACCCGAATGACACCGGTCCTCTCTGAACTTACTCTGGACCTGTCTCAATTTACACTGGCCCTGTCTGAACTAACACTGGTCATATCCCAGCTTACATCAGTTAGGTATGCTATTAAAATATAAATAAAATGTTCCATTGATTTGAAAAATATTTATTACTTAATTAAAGAAAAGATTACATGCCTAAATATTTAAAAACAAAAAAAATCACATCTGTCTCGGTTTTAAGAAACTTGATCACCCCAGTATTTCATTACTTTGAGCACTTTCCCAAAGGAGGACAGTCACTTTTCCGGCATACAATTTGTTTTTGCATATTACATCACGGAATCAAAATGTTTATCCAAAAGTTTGTCTTCGGATGGGAAATCAACAATACCTAATATCGCAGCACTTCAAAAATTCATATTCAATTGGTTTTATATCTATTCCAGGCATTTTCGCTACTAGAAATTATTTACGCATTCATATATTTTTTCCCGTTTTAATAAATGTCGACTTGAGGACATATGGGCAGTTTTCCGCCATAGCTCTTTGCATGACATACTAGTAACTCGATAGATCTAAAGAAGATTACCTTATGTACGAAGGGAAGTAACTCGAGAGTTCTTACATGCAATGTAACACTCAAGCCTATAAAAGGAGATTCTCTCCAGTCTGTGCGATCTAAGTGTTATCAAATAAGAACCTATTTTTATTTCAAGTTTAAAGACCTATATGAAGACATTATCAACGGCGTATATGTGTTGATCTTCTATTACTAGAGAAGTAAGCTTTATCATCTTGTTTATTTTCATTCCCTCAGTTGCATTATTCGAGCTTGAAATATGCTAGACTTTGGCTTGGTTTGGATAGCTAATATATTGCGTTTTCTTTTCCCTCGAAGAGGTGTTCTAAGATTCAAATGTGATGTCATGAATTCAGATACGGAGATTTGACTAGGTGGACGATGTGTCCAGGATGTCAATCTGACATGTGTCATTCGAACAGATCATTGTATGTCCAGTTTCATTGTGTTTAGAAACGGAGCCTTCTAAGATTTTGAATATGAAGAAATTAAACGTCATATATATATTCAACATTAAGTATAACACAGTCTTTTATTTTTCATATGTGAAGGATCAAGTCCTTATTGCGCTTTGTCACTGTCAGAGCCGGAAATCTCATCTTTAATATTTAGAACGAAATCACTTGTTTAAGTTAAAGAATAATTGTTGCCCTAGTTCGAGTTTGTCTCTTAACCATATAACGAAGTAATACAGAAAATCTCGAACAAAAAATGTGGTTAACACAAAGGAAAAATCTGGTCAGGAAAATGTTGTGGGGTCGTGAGGTTGGCTTAATACGATGGTAGCTTCACCCGACCAGATCTCAATATTGGACAGGAAAAATTTCAGAAACGATCATTGGTTTTGCTAAGACGGCATTTGTTGCAGCATTTGTATTGCTTTTGTTTGTTCTTATTTGTGACGTTATATAGTCACATGAATGAAAAAATACAGCGGTAAAGAACCATGGGTGAAATGGCTATAATGTAACGATGGCAATGGGTAATGTCTTCGGGATATGCTTGTTTTTGGGAAGGACGTTAAACGAATGTCCGTACGAATTATAAGACCAATACATACTAGTACTCTAGTTTAAGTTTCGAACTCGTCATTTGGCCAAACCATTGTCTTTTTTCTGCCTTTTTAATCCATTGGAATCGTGTTGTATGGAAGCATGGATATTGCTTACATCGATGATCGATCAAGTCAGGGCCACAGTGAACTATGCCATGTATGATATTTATTTTTCTCAAATAATAAATGAAACCGATTTTTTTCCGAAACAACTCAAAATTTCTGCTTAAATCCATTCAAACAGATTAGTTTACATAGAATGATTCCATTTATTTTACCAGTTGGAACCATTTCCCGCACGACCAGGCGAGATCTCGCGCGTACCGATGGGGCGAGGACGGCCTGCTGGGGATCTGTGACCGGAAGTGTCGCCTCTGCTTGTCTTTGGGATTGTGGAACACGAAGGACGCTATCCTTAAAGAACGCCTATTTGGCCTGACAGGACATGAGGTAATCTATAAGTCTAGAGATTCACGATGGTGTATATTATAGAATATCATGACCGATATAATATACAGTGATATTATCCGAGGGTATTGCAATATTTGGGATCTTTATATCTCTGTCTACTTCTAACTACCTTTTTATTTCCTTGCACCTTAAATTGGCAATATCTTACTTTTGACTAGGTGAGGAAGGCAATGGGTTCTGTCCCCAGGCCGGAACATACCAAATTCCTTAAACGTTCAGCATTTCGGGGAATGACAACACAACTGGTTCACCCGTTGTCAGTATAATTTGACCGGGCGGAATGCTGTGCTGAGTGTCTTCGGCATGGTATTTCAGTGAGGCAACACTTTAAAGTCGGCATTAGATCCGTGCTATCACAAGGAGGCGATTACACAACATACCCTGCCTCCAGCACACATACACACATGCACGCATACACAACACACATGGAGGCACGTCCTTAAATGACATTTGCTGTAAATAGGGTTGAATCATTACTACGATGCTGACCAGCAACCGAGGGAACAACTGCATTTGAGGTTTTAAGAATGATTAACCGGAAATGGAACACTATACATTTCACATTCCAGCCTACAAACTGGTGGTCAAGTAGTGCCTTTCAAATAGAACTGCAGTTGAGACAAGATTGTTTGCCACGGAGTTAATGCCGAGTTTACATTTTGCATTTTTCCTTAATGAAATCTTTGACATTGGAAGATGTGAGAGACGTCAGTTGTATAAGAATTAACTAATAACGAAAATCTTTTGTTTTTAAAAAGGTAGGAATTAAAAAAACACGAAAATACCCTATAGAGTTTCTTTAAAATATGATAAGTGCATAGTACCTGAAAGATGCATTGTTGATTTGGTTGGTTTTAATCAATTCCAAATACTGCCAGAACAACTAGAGTACTTTCAGCTCGTGCTTTGCTTTATTCAACTCATTTCTAGCTCTTAGATTGTCGAATGCCTTGGATGTTACCAAGTTCAGTGATATTAAATAAGGTTTAATGTAGTTTGTTTGGTTACCAGGGTAACCATGGGGAGGACGTGAAGGAGCTGTACTACTACATCGATAGCACGCCGACACACTCCTACATGTCCGCCCTGTACAAGTACCCCCAGGCCGCCTACCCCTACCCAACGCTGGTGGAGAGCAACAAGAACAGGTCGGCCGCAGAGCCAGAACTGGAAATCTTAGACACGGGTAAGTGAAGCTTAAAACCAGAAATAAAACATTTCTTATATAAATATTATTAATACAAAAGTTTGACCAATAGGAATTAACAAATGAGAAAATCAAAACAAAAGGTGAGACGTCACGCACCCGTCTGTACGCAAGTAAGAAATCTCTCTAAGGGTCCATTGCGCTACTTATTCGATTCATGAATGGAACGCGTGCGGTACACCAGGGAACTCTCCAAGAAAAACAGATCTCTTTTTACGTCGAATATTTGGCAAACATTTTTATACGAGAATCAGTTTATCGAAGTCGGAGTTGTTGCCTGTTTTTGCATGATTCGTTTTGCAGGAATTTCAATATGTCATGGGAACCCTCAAACCGAAAATACTTTTCTAACAGCTTGTGGCGTTGAGTCAAATGGTGTCTTATTTATTCTCGTCGTGAATGAATGAATTGAGAATTTCTTTTCAAAACGAACTTTTAGATAATCAGATGACAACTTTTTTTGCAACTCCCAGAAGCCAGAGTTTCAATGTGAGAGTATTATGTAGGAAAGATGAAAAACATGTTACTAAACGGATAGTAACAACGGGAACAACCCTTGGACATTATTGAATCATAAAGATCGAGGTTCTGGAAGAAAAGTGAACCACACGAGGTTCCCGTCGTCCGTCGTAAAATATATGATCCGGACCTGGTAGGAAAGACCACAATTCAAAGATTCTCAATAATCGTCATTTTTGTAACGAAATTCCGGAAATGTTCGTGCTATTATACAAACTTAATAGAATAATTCATCATGGTAAAGTCATTATGTATTAAATATTAAATAACCATCAAATATAATACCGACGAAAAGTGGAACAGATGTACAATAACAGTAAGTGCATGTCTCCGACGACATCAAGGTAGATTGAATCATTTGGGAAGAAACGTGTCATTTAGAGATCATACGGTAACGTAAAACAACGTGACATTTAGGGACCATACGGTAACGTAAGACACAATGTGACATTTAGGGACCATACGGTAACGTATGACACAGGGTGTCATTTAGGGACCATACGGTAACGTAAGACACAGGGTGTCAGTTAGGGACCATACGGTAACGTAAGACACATGGTGTCATTTAGGGACCATACGGTAACGTAAGACACAACGTGACATTTAGGGACATACGGTAACGTAAGACACAATGTGTCATTTAGGGATCATACGGTAACGTAAGACACAACGTGTCATTTAGGGACCATACGGTAACGTAAGACACAACGTGTCATTTAGGGACCATACGGTAACGTAAAACACAGCGTGACATTTAGGTAACATACGGTAACGTGAGACACAACGTATCATTTAGGGACCATACGGTAACGTAAGACACAACAGGATGTCAGGTTTGCTTGTTTAAGGTTTCACGTTCTCGGCACAGCCAAGTTCATGCATAGACGGATGCAAAGAAAGACATCGCGGAAAGAACGGGGTAGGGAGGTGACAAGAGAAAAGTTAGAGATCCAATATGTTACAATGGAGCCAGCAGACCTCTAAGCACAACACAAAAGACCCCCCCCCCCTCCTGTATTCTGAAGGGATTCCACATTAGTCGCCTCTAACGATAAAATGCTTTGGTATACAGTAGGCCTGTTCTCTGCGCGACCCTGCAGGGATGTTATTGTAATACAATTAATAACTTCTTCGGCACTAGACTCGACTCCAAATTCAAGGAAATGCAACTTTGAACATACTATCAAATTACTATATTATTGTATGTAAATTTTACTTACCAGGCGTGTTTGATAACAATGAGTACTTTGACGTGCTTGCCGAGTACTGTAAAGCCACCCCTAACAACATACTCGGACGTTACGTCATCACCAACAGGGGTCCCGCTCCCGCCACAGTGCACGTGCTGCCCACGCTCTGGTTCCGGAACGTGTGGTCTTGGGGCGAAGAGTGTTACGTAAGTATCTTTACCGCATCAACGATACCAAATATAATCAAAGTAATCGTCAAGGTTCTTGTTGTTTATACTTATTTATTGTAGTCAACGCTTTCAATGTTTTTCAATGTCATTAAGAGTTATTGATACGCGAGCACGATACAATGATGAGTTCCATCATAAACTTATAAGCGATGGATATCAAATTCCAATGAAATGCTCTGATTTACTTTACATGTGTTATAAGAGGTCATATATTTACTATGCACGAGTAATACATAAAAACAAAAACTACACGTTTTGTTTCTATAATTAACAAATTAATAAACACTTTTAAGCATATTTAGAGCATATTTCATTTTTTTTTCCTCTCAAATAAAATGTAGTATTCGTAACCACATTTGCACTCAAAGATGATTTTATTTTAAACATAAATCCATTTTAAGTGTTATGAAGAACAAAAGCCCCATATGTCTAAGGTAGCCGAAGGAAAAGTAGTATGTCAGCACCCTACCCTAGGTAAGTCATGACATATTTCTAAAAACATTCTGATTTAATTCGTCTTTGCGTATTGCAGAGTTATCTTCTCTTGTGAGCAGGTATTGATTGTTACGTCATTGGTTTGTGTGAGAAAATTACGTCGTTTTCTCAAAAATTGATGACGTTACTCTCACAAACAAATGACGTAACAATCAAGATCTCCGCACAAGAGCAGATAACTCTGCAATACGAAAAGACGGAATAACTCTTTCCAATATAACTGTCTACTGATAGAAGACATAGGCACTATTCAATGTACTATTCTAATTACTCTGGAAATGTTTGTGAACATATATTTACGTTTCTCTGTGTTTTAAATAGTAATGCTATAGTTCACGATTGAATTGATACCAATTTGATAATTTGCAACTCCATTTTCGCACTCGGATTTATTATGTGTAATGAGATCACTAGATTGCAAATATTTGTGGTTTTATTAATTAAGTGTAATGACTAACACATATAAACCATTTTCCAACTATTGATATATTCAATAGGCAACTTTCAATGAGTACTTTATATATATAACTAGACTGGCTACCAGCCCCTAAGTTTTTATGAAGAATATTCCTGGCTACATTTTACTACTAGCTTATCTCCCCCTAGTTTAGAACTTAGGTTCTAGAATCAGACATCTAAGTGGTCAAAGATTTTAGACTTTATTTTTTTTCTAAACAATTCAATATTCTAGAGACGGGAGCCAGTCTAATGTATAACAAGCCATTCCGAATTATTGTTATATAACACAACCTCTATTGTCATCCAAATAATTGTTATCTAAAAATAAACAACTTCATTTCATCGTTACCCATAAAAACTTCAAATATTAGCTTTCATCCAGAAACGATTTCTCATAAATGTATCTCAACACTGAGTTTTTCTAACATTTCGTTGTGATCTTATCCATTATTTCATAGTGGTAGTGTCCTCTAAGAATAACGAAGTTTCAGTACAGTGACACGACACAATAAAGTTGCCCCTGGATGGCTCTACCATATATTCACACTGTCGCCACAAGACTTTAACTGTTGCGAAAGCGATAAAAGCAATACAAACGAAATCTTCCAATGTGTGCTAACCCCATAAGTATGTTATCGATAGTATCTTTTTCTTATTTGACGATTCAAACACACTACATGTTTGATATGTGATCATTTAAACGCATGACACTGTGTCCATTTTTGCTTTATTCTAAGGCAGTCCAAAGAGCCACTCCAAAAGAAGGAGCAGAAGTATAACAGACCTCTTATCTGACGTCACACCAGGTAATGAAGTCCCCCAAACAAAGTGGGGGACTTATTTGTTTTACTCCATTTCTTCTTCTTCTTTTTCTTGGTAAAACGTTTCCGACACTTTTCTCGAAAATTATTTGACGGAAATTAATAAAACCTTACACAAGTGTTCGTCATGGTAAGGGTGTGTGCAAATGACCTTTCATTTTCCGATCGGTCAACCAAGATGGCCGCCACGGCCTCTGATTAGTCGAAATTAAATACTGCTCGATTTTGCTCAAAGAGCTATGGCGGGTTGCTATGCCTTTTCCCCAAATCTATGACCCGCTAGTGCGCGCGTCCAACCGTGCACTGTTATGACGCGTTCTCATGTATTTCTATACAGGTAACTCTATCGGAATCCCGTATCTAAGAATAGATTATTGTAAACAGACGAATTTAAGGTCATAGCTGTTAATACATGCATTTCGCGATAAAGACTCAAAAAAATGCTTATTTCGCGTTATGCTGTATAAAACACAAGATTGTACAATCATTACCAAGTTTGAAAGGATTTAATTCTCATTGCTATTGCCTACGTCATGCCGTTACATGTTTTCTTGAAAAGCACGCATCTTGATTTTGTTCTTCCTGTACCTTGGAATGGTAAATTACATATAGTTTTCGAATATCATGTCTTACACGTGTATTGCGCTCCTAACTTTGTGCTGCAGTCTTCCTGCATTTAAAATAAATGAGACTGTTCTCGACGATGAATTTCCCGCATGTTCGGTAATATTTTGCGATAAAAAACACTTCTTTTTTCTTTGCTTTGCCTTTTATTTTATTCTGACGCAACAATCCCGTATATTTTGTATTTCGGCATCATTTGTTTGTGTTTAGATAATAAATAAAAATACTAGTGCCAATTGGAGAGTAAAACAATTCATAAAACAAGGCGTAGCTGTACTGTACACGTGTACAGGGATCCCATAGAAGATACATCAATAGGTATGTTATTAAGATGTCAATAAAATGTTCAATTGATTTGAAAACTATTTTTCACTTTACTAAGGAAAATGATCACTTGCCTAAATATCAAAAAAGAAAGAAGAAAGAGATGTATCTTAATGTGAATCCGAACCTACACCGTTCATATTTCTGGTCACAAGCTAACTGCGTTACACATTAGGCTACTACAAACTAAGTTAAACCAAGAAACATCTGTCGCAGTTTTGAAAACTTGATCAACCCTGTTTTTCATTATTTTGAGCACTTTCCCATAGGAGGACCACTTTTCCGTCATACGATTTGTTTTCGCATATTACTTTACGGAATCAAAAAGTTTATTCAAAAGTTGGTCCTCGGATGGGAAAGTATTAAAAGTATTTTTTAAGTCTGGGAAACCCTGTCACTTTCATAGATATAGTGAATATGGCTATATTTGCAGTATTATATTAACAATACCGAATATCTCAACAGTTCAAAAATTCATATTCAATCGGTTTTATATCTATTCAATGCATTTTCGCTACTAAAAATTATTTACTCATCAATATTTTTTCGCGTTTTCAAAAATGCCGACTTAGGGAAATACGGGCTGTTTTCCGCCATACCTCTTTGATATGTAGGTATATTTTTGCATCTTTTAGACAATGGGGACAGCTTTGGGGACTTCTGTAAAGGTATCCCCCTCCCCCGTTACAATTAGTACTTGTTTATAATGAGATTCTAAAGCAAATAGCCACAGATAAATGGTAAGAGACCTGATCAATCTGTGATACAGCCTCCAGAAGATTGTATATTTTTCATTTTATGCCTACTTTAAATCAAATTAAAATGCAGACCTTCGAAGTAACTCAGTATTGCCACTAATATCACAAACCATGCGGATCTACCAGGCTAGCATTATCACCACTACCTTAACTAAGCTGTAAATAAGACGCTAAACAAAATAAATAAAACCACGCGGATCTACAAGGTAACTTTATAACCTCTAGTAATACAAAACCTGCAAATCTAAAAATATAAAGTCTGTTGACACTAGCAATGCAAAACCTGCAGATTGGTTAACAGTGTCGTCCTTAGTTAAAGTTTGTAAGTATCATGATGACTATGATTTTAGTTCAGATACCTTCTTATTTTCTGTAAAGTGTTCCGAAATTTCTCTTCTACGTCCTAAAGAGCCGGTCGTCCTTCAGAGTAAACTCTAGATGACTTTGTAAATAACTGTTTATTCCACCCCTACAGGTGTTTTTTACTTCGAGGTGGACTTGGATCAACATGGTAACAGTCCCGATTTGTTGTTTACCGAGAACGATTCGAACTTAGAACGCCTGTTCGGCAGTGTAAATACTACCAACTACGTCAAGGATGCATTCCACTACTACGTCATTGACGGTAGGGCGCCAAGTGTTATCTTGCCACCTGTAAGTTGGCTAATATTCTTACCATGTGAAATTGAGCATTAGCTTGTGGAAACACCTGGCTAGGAATACTACGTCTTGCTTGTAAAATAAGGGTCTGTATTGTACTTGGACACTGCATGCTATAGTCGCCGGATTTTTGGAGGGAAATCATCAGTTTTTATCATCTGATTACCCGCAAGAATGATTTTGAATATTGTTTGTAGCAACGTGACGTTATGATACGGTGTCGTTGTTATTTTGTGACCAATAGTTTCTCGGCTCACATTTTCTTGAAGCAAATTAAATGCAGTGTACTGGGAAATTGTTGTCGCAGTTGAACTAGGCGAATTTGGATTTCGGTAGTAGTAAAGGTTCGAATTTTTGATTGAGTGGAAACCCTCCCGTTATTCAGTAATACACTAATAATGTAATACGAGATGATAACGAGTAATGCTTTGCAGAAAAGATAATTGCTATGCATATATAACCGTATTCATTGAACAACATATTTGTTAGACATTGCAAATTACGCTCTTTTATGGTGCGGACGTGATGATCAGCTGGTGCGCGTCTCACAAAACCTTGCATTTACGGTATTGCTTATACATGTAAAATTGTTATTCTAAGTATGTTTTGCTGTTAGCATGAAGGAATTGATCATTTTGCCCTTCAAATTTGTCATTACATGTGCATTTTTTGAATCTTTTACAATCACAGGTCAAACAGAAAAGGTGAATCCCGCCAAAGAAGGAACAAAATGTGCAGCGCATTACAAACTCCACCTGGCGGGAGGCGAAGAGGCCGTCATCAGAGTGAGGCTTTACAATGAAAACGAGGCTACAGTGAATGGTTTTTCACACAGCGAATTTGATGAGATGTTTGAACAAAGACAAAAAGAGGCTGATGCATTTTATAATCAGGTATATACTGTATATAAAGACATATTATAAAGTATCCACCATATAAAACGCACTGGTTAGATTTTCTGATAATAAGCTATGCAACTCTTGACGCTGTATAGTACGTGGGTTCCGTCTCTTGATGAAATGCAATACAATACATATACACCACAGGGACCTGAAAATATGTTGCAGCTATATTCGGACCTAAACTAAGGTGTTTAGAGTAATTCTACACCCGTACGTTTGTGGGGTTTAGATCGATTTTCGGTAAAAATGCCACCCCCAATGGCAATGATCGGTATATAGGATCATTGGGGGTGGCATTTTACCGTAAATCGATCTACCTGAAATGGCAAAATTTACAAGCATCGTCTATACGTGAAATATTTCATTGCATTCGAAACTTTTAAATAGCGTCTGAAAGGGGGAAAAAAGACTGAGACGCATTTTTTTACATTCTTTAGAAGAGGGAATATAAACCTAGTCTGCTATTTAATCCGAAAGTGTTTTTTTCACTTAAACTTACTTAACAAAATGAAAGTTTTGTCAATTTGTCAAGATATCTTCTGATTGATGATGATGTCGAAACGTACATATGCAAAACTGTGCCGTAGATTAATGTGGAAGTATACATACCGATCCCCTTAATTTCTGAATAAGATATATAATATAAACATGTGGACAAGCAATATAACAGAATGGAACTCTGTGATATACAGGTGATCCCGAACCGTCGTCTGTCGGATAGGACTATTGTGAGACAGGCGTACGCTGGCCTGTTGTGGAGCAAACAGTTTTATTATTACGTCATCAAACACTGGCTGGCGGGAGACAGTGCACAGCCCCGACCCCCGGCCATGAGAGAAAAGGGACGCAACTCTGACTGGAAACATCTGTTTAATCGTGACGTCATCTCTATGCCGGATAAGTGGGAGTACCCATGGGTAGGTTCACTACTGATCGACTGCAAATAAGATACTGTGGTTCTACCCTCATAATGAATACATGGACAGAAAAAAGATCGATTCTCGAAAACATCCTAGTAATGATGTAGAAATGCAGTATATCATATATGCCGTGACAAAATTAGGGAAAAAAGCAAAGATAAATGTAAGGCAAAATAACAAACCTGGCAATTATAGAACGTCACGTCAATGAGTCCCAACCTAGCAATTACAGAACTTCACGTCTACGAGTCCATACCTGGCAATTATAAAATGTCATGTCAATGAGTCCAAATCTGGCAATTATTAAACGTCACGTCAACGAGTCCCAACCCGGTAATTATAAAACGTCACGTCAACGAGTCCAAACCTGGCAATTATAGTACGTCTCGTCAATGAGTCCCAACCCGGAAATTATAAAACGTCACGTCAATAAGTCCAAACCTGGCAATTATAGAACGTCTCGTCAATGAGTTCCAACCCGGTAATTATAAAACGTCACGTCAACGAGTCCAAACCTAGCAATTACAGAACTTCACGTTTACGAGTCCATACCTGGCAATTATAAAATGTCATGTCAATGAGTCAAAATCTGGTAAGTATAAAATGTCACGTCAATGAGTCCCAACCCGGTAATTATAAAATGTCATGTCAATAAGTCCAAACCTGGCAATTATAGAACGTCTCGTCAATGAGTTCCAACCCGGTAATTATAAAACTTCACGTCAACGAGTCCAAACCTAGCAATTACAGAACTTCTAGTTAACGAGTCCATACCTGGCAATTATAAAATGTCATGTCAATGAGTCCCAACCCGGTATTTATAAAATGTCATGTCAATAAGTCCAAACCTGGCAATTACAGAACGTCACGTCAATGAGTTCCAACCTGGCAATTATGAAATGTCAAGTCAATGAATCAAAACCTGGCAAGGATAAAATATCACGTCAATGAGTCCAAACCAGGCAATTATAAAACGTCACGTCAATGAGTCCGAACCATTCGGTTACCCGGGACTGATTCCGGTACCCTGCATCAGTTTGATGTAGGTACGGAATCTGCCGAGTTTGGACGAGTGGAGTCTGAACCAGGCAATGACAAGATGTCGCGTCAATTAGTCCAAACCTGGCAATTATAAAAAAAAGAGTTATGTTAATGAGGCGGAACCTGGCAATTATACACTATCATGTCAATGAGTCCGAAACTGAAAATTATGAAAAAGATATGTCAAAAAGTCCGAACCTAGGAATAAAAAAATCATGTAAATGAGTCCGAACCAGGCAATACAAAAACAAGTATGGCAATGAATCCGAACCTGGCAATTCTAAAAAAAATATAGCAATGAGTCAACAGTCATGCATCTCTTTTGCAGCTCAGTTCACTTTTTGTTTTGTTTATTCCTGACTTAGGTGGTGGATTGGGTTGGGCATTGTAAGTGTAGTAACGGGTTTTAAATGGCAGTATAGTATTCTATTTGATGTATAACATATAATTTCGTATTGTATGGTTGTGTTATCAGTATGCCTCGTGGGACCTTGCCTTCCACATGATTCCCATGGCCAACATCGACATCAGTTTCGCCAAGGAACAAATCTTGCTGCTTTTGCGGGAATGGTATATGCATCCGAATGGTCAGGTAAGTTAATGGCCATTTTTACGGGTTTTTTTATCGTTTAAAAATATTTTCAAGGTAACACATTAATTACAATTCAGGGTTGGAATTAAGAGAATAAACTCTCAAACATGACGTATAGACATTTAATGAGTATATCCTACTTATAGCGTCGGATATTTTGGTGTTATTGTTAGGTTGAACAATGTTATATGAAAAAATAGTATATTATTGGGGGAATCAATCGGGAACCGTCGGGACCTTTCCGTAAACTAGAAAATATTTTCTTGTTTACGGAAATTGCCGACGTTTTCCGATAATAGGGGAATTGCCGAAATTAAATTAATACTACTTGGGTTTATTACAAAGCTTATGAAATGTACTACAATGCCAGTCTATTCTCCAGCAAACAGCACCGACTAATTTTGTTACATTCGTAAATTCTATGCATACATGTTCGAATGCTGTACAGATTCCGGCCTACGAGTTCTGCTTAGAAGATGTCAACCCTCCCGTACACGCCTACGCCTCACTGAAGATATATAAAGCGTCTGGACCAAAAGGCAAGCGAGACGTAGTATTCCTAGCCAGGTGTTTCCACAAACTGATGCTCAATTTCACATGGTGAGTTTGTCTTTGAATGCAAATGCTTCCATAAATACGGCTTCAACTCCAAAGTCGGATTTCGTTACTTCTTAGCCATACTGAGGAGTGTGGACCTGGCTTTTATGTATAAGTTTATATATTGTTCACTATTGCAGTTTCTTTATATATTTGTTTTTTTTTATTATTTGCCTTCAAGTTACTCTGTAACTATAAATGAGCAATACAATTATTGAATTGAATTATAACTTCAAATAACTGATCCTTGTTTTTTGTAAACTTGTCCTCAACTCTCTGTGACGATTTCGTTACCTCATTCCCAGGTTCCTTCGCATAAACATCACACATGGAGGCACCTCCTTAAATGACATAAGCTGTTAATAGGACGTCAAACAATATACATGTAAAATCAAACCGAAACCTCACAATTTTACCTCGATCCAATATACCTTTAATAAAGTTCGTAAGAGGAAGGTATCACTTCACAGCCAAATGCTCACAGAAACTTCAATTTCATAAACATATCCTCAACGTTACATGGTGAGCTTGTTTGTTTGGGAGTAAACGTACTCGGAACAGCCGGGATCATACGAGGACGGGTGCCTAGGGAGACACTGCCTGATTCAGAAAGTAGACCGAAAAGAATGTCGGCTTGTTACTTGGTAGCTAGGTGCTAAAAACGACATTACTTCTCAACTTGTAATGCCTAGTTTCCAAGCAAGGTTTTTCACATATACGTTTTCAAGTTCACACAGGAAGTTTATCTTCCTAGCTAAATGCTTTCACAAATTCGTCCTCAATTTCACATGGCCAGTTCGTTATTTGATAGGTATCAACCTCACATGTCAAGGAATTGCCATCTAAGAATTTTGGTTGAAGTATTTGAAGCTAGATGCTAGACTCTTAGCTGAGGCGACGATATGAAACCCTACTCAATGAATCAGCATGTTGGCTTTGCTTTCTGGAATACACGTTGTGTCAAATGACTGAGAACGAAGACAATGTGTTTGAAGTATGAAATCAATTTTGGAAAATTTCTGTTATTAATTATGTAAAAATAAAAATATTGAGAAAATATACCTTGGTTATATGTATATAAACAGTATGTTATCGGTTATGGAAATGGCGAAGTTAATGGGACATTTCTTTTCTCCTGAAACTTGCCAAGAAAATTTAGTTTTTATTCTCATACACATAATGAATTGGTATTTTTGGGAGAATAAATCACAAACCTAACATTTCCTTTAACATCGCTATCATCTCAATTGCATCTATAGCAAATCGTCGATATAATGTCCCTTGTGTCATTACCGACAACACAACGTTTTTGAATTCCCTTTTAAGGATCCTCTGTCCCGCTGCCAAAAACTGTATCTATGAAGTCGGAACATTTCCCGGCATGTCTATAGCTTTTATAAATCATTTCTGAAATGTAAACCATATACATTGTGGTGCTTTTATGATAGAATAATACAGATGCGTTAAAAAAAAACCCAGTGTTTTGCGTTTAAAAATCCAGCGAGGGTTTGACAAGGGATTCACACCATTGTCCTCTGATCGGTATACTCTTGTTCTAACCGATAGAGGTTTCTTGTCGACGGAAGTGTCCTGGCTAAGCTGTGCTATTATTATCTTCAAAACGAAATTAAGGGGAGGTTACTACTGTATATAGGTAAAACCACAGTGCAGTGAGACGGGGATCCTTAACGCTGTAATGTAGTTGTATCATCACATTCGACAGAAATGCAGATATGATCCAACATGCACAGATACGTATATTGTACTGATTTGATTCATTGGTAGCTCCAAGAATGGCAGAAGATTAATCATAAAAGATATTATTTTCTCCCACACCTGACAGATTTATCTCCCGTTTTGCCGGTGCTAGATTTATCTGTCTCCGCCCTAGGGTTGAGACGGGGGGATTCCCCTATTTATAACAATGGTATGACGTCACTGCAAAAATACAATGACGTCACGTCAACAATCCATCAACAAATTGCCTGTATGTGTTTTGGGTCCATGTTTACCTTTATTTCACATTAAAATACTGTTAGATATGGGAGAAAAATAATCAATCGCTACTGGTTGTGTAAGATAGAGAAATCTCAACCCGCGGACTAAGATTTTTTGTATAGACCTCGGCAAGCCTCGTTCTGGACAAAAAATCTTAGTCCTCGGGTTGAGATTTCTCTTTCTTACACAACCAGTAGCGATAGATTCTATTAATCCCGGCCGATCCCCGAAAACATAATTTGTCTTTTTCCTTTCGTAATATATTTCACTATGTCTGTTTGCAGCCATTTTGTATATTGAGTAAATACTCTTAAGTGTTACTTACATTTTAAGAGAAATTACTCAACTTATGTAAATATGTTAATATTTTTTGAGAACTTTGGACGACTTGTGATGACTATAATTAAGCAGTTATTTCACCATTTTTTATGAATATGGTTCATGGTCCTCCCTAGTTAAATGAGTCCACACAATCCTCCTCGGCGTTTGAGATTTTTTTTTTTTTTATTTTTTTTTCACCTTTTCTTGATGGCTTTGATTTCTTAGCCATGTTTCTTTTTGTAAAGTTTACCTATTCCGTCTTTGCGTATTGCAGAGTTATCTTCTCTTTTGAGCAGGGATTGATTGTTACGTCATTTGTTTTTGAGAGTAACGTCATAAATTTTTGAGAAAACGACGCAATTTTCTCACAAAAACCAATCACGTTACAATCAATACCTGCTCACAAAAGAAGATAACTCTGCAATACGCAAAGACGGAATTGCCGGCGTAACATATATGGTGAGTTGTGTGCGAATATTCCTAGCCCGGCGTTTCCATCCGTTTGTCTACTTTGTTTTGTGCGTTTGAACATTGAAATGACCGTAGTGAACAGTGTTTAATAAAAAAATATGTGAATTCTGATGTTTTCCCCTCAAATCTTTAAGATTTTATATCTTTTTGTAATGCCACTATTTTAAATGCATAGTTTCATCAATAGGTGGGTTAACCGAAAAGATCCGTCGGGAAGGAACATTTTCTCGGGCGGATTTCTAGGACTGGACAACATCGGCATATTTGACCGGTCCAAGCCCCTCCCTACCGGCGGACGTCTGGTGCAGGCGGACGGTACGGCTTGGATGTCTTTCTTCTGTTCCATAATGCTGGAGATCAGCCTCATTCTCGCCAAACGCGACCCTACTTACGAAGACATGGCCAGCAAGTTCTTCGAGCACTTTGTCGCCATTATCGACGCCATTAATCAACACGGGAATGTAGGTAAGTATATAACGTACCGCCAAAAACTGTAACTCTATACTGAAAGCTCTTTCTTAGCCCTGCCAAAAGCTTTAATACATCATTTTTGAAAAGAAAACAACACCTTGCGGAACCCAATAAGGATGAAATAATAATAAAAAAATATCAACAACAGTGTTCCGAGTGTAAAAATGTTAAGATGCATGACCAGGATTCGAACTTTGGACCCGTGCTTATTATACCGTCGCTCTTACCACCTGGCTCCGGTTGCTTAAAGGTTAGTTAACTTCAACCGATTAATCAGTGAAAAAATTCAAATTGTTGCTTATAAGAAGCACGGACTTTCAATGCAGAATGAACCCTCAAAACACGTCAATATCATTGGTCTCAACACATTTCTAGCTGTGAAATGATATCAGGTGTTCTTGGTTTTGTTGCACTAACATTTGAAATTTCCCCTGGCCACTGGTTAAATCTAACCAACCTTTCAGCAGCCGGAGCCTGAACTAGATTGTTAACGTTAGTACCCTCTCTCAGTTGCGCTACAGTTAGATAAAAAGATAAACTAAAGGGGAGATTACTGTTATACAAAACATTACGATGAAAATCTTCGCTTGCAGTGTGACAGGGACCCTTATCAGTGCTATCTATACTTGTAAACAATAACAATTTAATAGGATCAAGCGACTACCGTAATATATTGCGCAGCGGGATTGAGTCGGTTGACAAATTGGTGACTAGGTACAGTGAAAGCGCTCTAAATTGATTAGCGCGTCTGTCTGGAGTTAGATTATATATGCTTTGCAAGGGAATATCTTGCGATCCTGGGTTGTTAGAAAAAAGGAGTGAGGTTTGTTGCGGGCCTTGACCAGGTACACTTTACTCGTAGCTCGTCTAGTAGAGAGTTCGGTCGGAGGTTCCGGGTTCATATATTTTATCTACTGTGATGCTTGAAATAATCCTTAGTTTTAAATTTGTTTTATTCACATAACATATGTAATACATAATACAAATATGATTATACATAAATGTATTGGAGACAGAAACAAGTGTTAATACACTTATATAAATCTGTTACCTTTCATCGTAACCAACATTATCGACTATAGCTTAGGGATAGTGACGTGTATAAATTACAGGGGAAGTTAGAAGAGAGTTGGTGAAATGCAGTGTAAAAATATGGTACATGTACAAAATACGTTACATTCATAAACTCAGTGTATTGTGGTCAAGACAAATCTTTCTGTTGCGTCATCGTTAATACACTATATTATTACGCAGACAGTCGTTGTGATACTGTTCACATTCCATACACTATTGCTGATCAATTGTTCGTCACATCCCGTGCCTTAATATGTCATTATCCTGTTCTTTCTTGTCCTCCTGATATATCCGTTTCCACTAGACTGTTTGCATCGGGTAAAACCATCTACATTACTTACTTTACATATGATATATGTTATCATATGTATACAAGGGTCATTGATCTTATTCAAAGACGTCATAAGATAATAAATCAGAAGTCAATTGATCTATTATTATGTTAGCAACTCAGCTATTTCATCTAACATATGCTCGCACACAAACTTCCATGTATGCATGCATACCCACACATATCATAAACACATATATCTATCATGCATACATACATACACACACACACACGTACGTAAGTACATACCTACCCACCTACATACATACATAAATTATATTTACTTGCGCACATGAGTGTGCATGGCTGCATGCATATGCACTCCTACACACACACGCTCACACATGCATGCATACACGCATAGATGCATGCGTACATACATACATGCATACGTGCATATGTGAGCTACTCATAATCCATTTTTTTTTTGAAACAACATGTATACATTAATAACAGTAACATCATAATATAATATCACCCTATTGATGTTGAAATCGCTTAGACTTAAGGATGTAATCCTGAACAGCCAGGACAATTATTTTGTTATTCTTCTAAAGATAACGATTCATCGCCATATAATAATAATTTGACAGTTATTTGATACTGAAGGGTTTCAATGTGTAGTTGTCTGATGGCAGTGTATAAGGTACAATCTAGCAGGTAATGAGAAGTGTTTTCGATGGTACCGCATGCGAAAAGAGGGGATATAACAATGTTTTTCCTATATAAATGTTCATTAAGAGAGCTGCATGACATGCGTAGTCTAGCATGGTATATTTGTCCTAATCGCGAGCCATATGAGTAGTGTTTTGGTGGAGGTTTATCCTTGACACCGTCTGTTACAGGTCTTTGGAATGAAGAGGATGGTTTTTATTACGATCACGTAAAGGACAAAAGAACGACCTACCCATTAAAGATCATGTCCGTGGTTGGAGTTGTTCCCCTTTTCTCGACCTTGGTGTTGAAGTTCTCGGATATAAAGATACATTCGCACTTTTACAAGCGAACTAAATGGTTTCTAAAACATAGGAAGGATCTTACCAAACGTGTATGTATATGCTTGACGTTTTGCCGTACTATTTGGCCTATACAACTTTGTGTGTGTATGATTTATACCTAAATAAATATAATTTATTGAAATATTTCATTCTTTATCAAATATTCTAAAAATAAAATAAAATTGTCTTAAGGATCAATGCCAACTTACTGTAACTATTGTGCGTCCTCATTTTCGAAAGATTTCCATACTTTCATTCCAAAAGATATTCTATATACCGGGAAATATTCGCTGCAGTTTAATTTTCGCCTTTTTCGCCCTCCATAATGAGGGCGAATTTATCATTACATCGACATTAGTAAACAACATAATATTCATAGTAATAATTCAGTGTAGGGCGAAATTAACACTGGGCGAATATGGATTATTCAGCTGAACACAAGACAATGTTAACAACAATATCTTGTACGTCTGTAATTCTAACATACTTAAAAAGTAAGGCATGTCGGGTAGTCTTAAGTAAAACAGTCATATACGTTTATTGTAAGCAGACAAAGAATACATTCCCTAATGTCCACGGAAACAGTATATAGACAGCAATAGTCGCTGCAATGTCATAACAACGCTTTGTGTAGTGTATGAAGTGTATATTGTAAGATGCCATATTATCGTCATATCAAATATATGATATCTTATCATAATATGAAAATATAAACTTTATTTATTTTACTATTATGCAATATTCTAATTTAAATAAATCACTCTTCTTGGCACGGATGTTAGCGCGCGGGGAGTCTTAATGTGGGAGGAAACCGGAGTACCCGGGGAAGCTCACGAGGTCGGGCAGGTGACCAAATACCTTTTCACGTCTGATCGGGGAATCAAACCCCTGCCGCGTTGATAAAGGCGAGTGTGTTATCCACTGCGCCACCCGACACCCAATCCTACTGTTTGTTATAAACAGATACGTGTAGTTATACTGTCTCTGTATAACGTATGTCGTGATAGGATTTGTGTACATAATGTAATGCTTATTTATATACAACTTGTTTTTCAGATATCATTTTTCTGTCAGGAGGGGCAAGAAGAGGCCATACTTTTATCGATAGTCAAGAAAGAACAACTGAAACGGGTTTTAACACATATCCTGAACGAGGACGAGTTCCTCTCCCCCTACGGTATACGATCACTGTCAAAGGTAGCTATCAAATCACTGTCAAAGGTAGTTATCAAATCACTGTCAAAGGTAGCTATCAAATCACTGTCAAAGGTAGCTATCAAATCACTGTCAAATGTAGTTATCAAATCACTGTCAGATGTAGTTATCAATCACTGTCAAAGGTAGTTATCAAATCACTGTCAAAGGTAGTTATCAAATCATTGTCAAATGTAGTTATCAAATCACTGTCAAAGGTAGTTATCAAATATTTGTCAAAGGTAGCAAATATTTTTGAGAGCCACTTTGTCATATACTTTATGTATAATAAGCCATTACGTCACACATTCACGTATGATTTACTGGGCCAATTGATTTCAAGATGTATTGCATTAAGTATTCGTTACAGGAAAAATCATTTTCTACGAAAATTTCTCAAAAATATTTTTGTTATTTACATGACATGTGAGAAAACCAACACAGCATCAACATCAAGGGACAAAATAATAACTAGAAATTCCAAAATAAATAGAACCTAAGTACACATTTTGTCTTCAGCTCATGGTCATTATCTTAAAGCGAAGAGAATAAAATGTTTAACAGCTAAGGAATATGAGGGGAAATACTGCCTTACTGGCAAGCTAGCTTTTCCAGTGAGGCGTTTTTCAGCAATGTCGAGCCTGGTCTGTAGTTGGAAGGGTGACCGCCCGCACGATGGCTATATAACCCTTTATAATGTTTCACTGTCAAAACTTCAGGCTGCAATGATTAATTTATTCGTAAATCAAAAATCGAAATCAATACAAAAAGACAAATTCCAGAAACCAAGAAGACACCAAACCCAATGAAAGACATCGTAAACACCGGCAAATAACAGGCGAAACTTGGTCCTTATAACTTAAGGATGCATACCTCTAAGAACTTGAAAAAAATCTGTATAACCCTTTCAACCCTATGTAACTTTAGTAGACTCTGCCATGCATTGATCTGGACGAGTCCATTACGGTCTACAGTGGTGAAAGGGTTAAACTCTTTTTTTCTCTGATATGTTTTTTTGGAACCTTAATCGCTTCCTGAACCACATGTGGCACCGTCTTAAATCAAACAGGAAGTATGTAGGTCACCCACCGACGATCATAAACACGATAACAATTGAATAATGATAGATTCTTCATAATATCATCGAATATTTTCGCTAAGCTAATCAATCGTAAGCAACAGAACACAGGTGAAGTTACAGAACACCCGATCGCGACATGAAGGGGTTTTGTAAAGCATTAATCACGGGTAATACATGTCGTCTTCTTACAAACAGGAATATGTAGGTCACCGACGAGCTTAAACACGGTAACGAATGAATAATGATAGATTCTTCATAAACTAACGCAATCAGATTGCTATCTAAGTCCGTGGGAAAATGTTTAAGAAATTACCATAGATCAAGTTTTAACCTACAAAGTGTACCTGTTACGGTAGCAAGTGTGTAATGACATCTTTTTCATAAAATGTTTTAGAAATTATGTTGAATAAAGTTTTACCTGAAGTGATGTTGTAGGCTAGCTAAACTGGTATGGTGTTGTTCACTTTAACAGGTAACGGTTGTATACATTACGTAACGAAAAACGTCCGAGTTTCAAAAGCCTGGTCAGCTTGAAATGTTCTTTGTGTGCAACTTTCAAAGTGGATTTGGAAAAAAATGTTCGAAAATTAATCTGTTTCTTTAACATATTTGTCTTCAAATGATCGTTTTAAAAGCATATGCATGCAGTTAAAAAGTTTTGGATTTAAATATTTTGAAAAAAATATTACATGAAATATTTTCGATCATTTGTTGCTAAGCTAATAATTCTTAGGCAGCCGAATCCAGGTAAAATGACCAAACGCCGGTATGTAAGGTTTTTGTAAATCATTAATCACAGGTAGTAAATGGCGACATGCTCGTATTTGCTGAAGGGTTTGATTAAAAAAGATTTTTAAAACGTACAGTTAGTAAAATAATGGTGTTAGTTCGGTTAAATGCCTCAGTTGTAGAGCTGTCTCTACAGGAATTATGTCATAGGTACGTGAACACACCGTGGTCCTATTTTAATGTAACTTAAAAAAACATGCATTATGGTTATGCAAAAACTAAACCGCAAACGCATGCAAGTTTCCCATTACAGCATTATACGGCATACTGGTATACTTTCGTACAGACAATTTTTCGCCAATTACCCGTAAAATCCACATCGCCTAGTGTTTTGCCCTTCACTTACAGTAACAGTATATGGTATGCTGTTATGAATATTTGCTGTACTGCTAAGTCTTTTTAACAGAGGACAATACAGCGTTAAACTCCGGCAAACATTTAAGGATTTAATCCTGTTGTTGTGTCGAGGTGTATGGGGTATAAGCCTCTATCGGCATCGAGATAAATTTAATGAACTGCAAAGCTGTTCATATCAAATCTGTCACAAGCTCCATTGAGACTTTTGCCTAATAAATTTCAACACAACATGATTGAATCCTTATGGATACAGCTGTTCATTATTGCGTACCGCATGAACCGTAGGTATTTTTTTTATTAACATCTGATTTTAATGAGATTGTATGCAACGTAAGGTGCCAAAGCATGTGACGTCATCACTCACCGTGTGATGTCATCCTGGTACGATAGATATATGTTTTTTTTTATTGATTTAACCGTTAAAGCAACAAGCCACATAGATATTAATCAAATCTGAAACCATAGAAAAAGCAACAACTTGAAAACATTCTGTACATTGGACTACTTTCCGCGATAATTTGCTGACGTATTCATACGCCAACTGGAAAGTCTATGGAAAAAATAACCTTCATGTTCTTTAGTAGGTATTTAGTCGAAACTCAGAAGGAATGTAAATATTTATCAATATTTACATTCTGTATGCTTAGACCCATTGACAAAAATTACATTCATAAATGCATAACACAGGTGTTCATAGAATCTCAGCACGTGGGAACTGATAGTAACCTGATCACACTGCGTAGTAATACACTACAAAAACTACTCACTCGGAACGACCGACCTAGATGCTTAATTCTTACATCTTAAAATATTATTGAACTGTGCTTTGTGAAATATCCACGTATTCACGTGTCCTNTAAGGAATGATATTTATTTTTTCAACATTTATGAGGTCATAACAACAATGGGTTTTTGGACATATTTTACATGAATCGCTAACGCGATTCATTCAATATGTCCATAAACCCATTGTTGTTATGACCTCATAAATGTTGAAAAAATAAAAATCATTCCTCAAGTATACATTTGTATCTTCTAATGCTGTTTGCGGTTGTAAAAGTCACCTACACCCTGTTGTTACAAATTTTCCTATACAACTATATTCTTCTGTCTATTGTCTCATATAATTGTTATTACATACCGAGGAAAACTATAGAATTATATTTACATTTCCACTGCAAGTTTCTCTTTAAGTATTACCAGGAGAAAATGTGTATATAGAGCTATGGACGAAATTGTATCATAGTCATTTGGAAGCTTCTCCTTCCGCCTCGATTAACATGATACAACCGTTAGAAGTAAACATTTTGGTGACGTTAGGCTGTTCCACGAATCTTGTTTGCGCTGACGACACAGATACTTTAATATCGAAAATATAAGGCAATATCTTTTAAGATCACTAATAAATTAATATTCAGAACGTAAATATAAGGATTGAGCGGTATCTTTTCTATGTTCATGGAATATGTATGTAACTGATTTGCGTTAATACCGGCATGAAATTGAAAAAAATGCCGTTTAATCCTTATATAAAGTGTTATTAAAATCATAAATTCTAAGTTTGTTCAATTTCTTGACATTAATTTTCATTCCAAATACTAAAAAAAACAAAAAAAAACACACAAAAAAACCTCTATTAAAATAATTTTATTTAAATTCTTTTCTGCCCGTAGCGCCACCTGGATACCCCGTTTAAGCTGGACGTTAACGGGACGACACACAGCGTACAGTACGAGCCCGGGGAGTCGGAGACGAACATGTTTGGCGGGAACAGTAACTGGAGGGGTCCTATCTGGTTCCCGTGTAAGCTCACACACTTCATTTTATAACTTCTTTACAAAACGGTAGTCCCCTAGGCTAAATTCCTCAATGAGTTTCATTTTCAAGTCCTTGCCTTTTGGATACTTTGGTTTCCTCTTTTACTGATTTTTTTTTTCACTAATTCTTAGACATTAGATGATCTAAATATTGTTTTCATGATTTAAAGAGATACAGTATGACCGGTGCCGCGTGCAGTGCAAGACACGCTATAATTCCGGATTTCCGTTTTTCGTTTCCGTCTTTTGTGAGTCTCCTTCTCTTTTTTGATGCTTCTACACTTCCTATAGTGATCTTTTTGTATCAACGATGGTTTTGGCCTTTGTCTTTGCGACAATAAGACACTTGTGTTTATTGTTTACCTTCTATGAAACCTAATTGCCAAAACAATAATTACATATCGTTGATACAGTATATTTTTTTCATGAATTACAACCATTGGTTTGACGTGATGTGTTTGTTTACCAGTGAACTACCTGCTGATAGAAAACCTCTACCGGTTTGATTACTACTACGGCGACAGTCTCAAGGTGGAGTGTCCAACAGGTTCCGGTCGTCTTCTGCGCTTGCGCGACGTTGCGAGGGAGTTGTGCGAGAGACTGGTGTCACTGTTTGTCCCCGACAAGGACGGACGAAGACCTTGTCACGGTAATCTTAACACAACAAATTTTGTATGCAAACTGTGTAACAAATTGCAAGATTATAAACTTTACAGTTTTTTATACTTATATTGTGAAGATGTCATCTTAAATAATAAAAATACTCGATTTATTTCATGTTTTTATAAACTAGGAGCTGTCAAAAGCTTGGGTGACCTTCGTGTGTTGGCTTTTGTATCTTACACTTTGTTGGAATTTTATTATCAATGTGATATGCCTTTCTGATTAATATAATTGCCTCGTTTACATGAACATATGTTTTTATCGGTCAGGGGAGGACAAAAAATATTCCACTGATCCCAATTACCGGGATCTGGTACTGTTTTACGAGTATTTCCATGGCGACACAGGGAGAGGCTGCGGCGCAAGGTGAGTTGGCATCGGGTAGCATGCCAAGAACAAATATTAAAAATATTATAAAACTATGATCACGTGACAGAAACTTATTGTCAAATTGGGATTTTCGATTTTTTTGTCGCTGATTTGTGAGGCTTTGTAATTTGTAATTTGGAATGGGATACCGATATCCTTTAATCAAGCTGTTATTCTTTGACATGTTCTTTGTAGATTGTTGATAAATGACACCGCCGAGCTATGTCTAGAGACTTCTATAACATTTATATTTTAAATTCAGTTCTAAAATGTTGGCTTCTACGAAAAACATCCAAATCTCATTCATTCTATGGATTGCGTAAATTGTAGTAACAGTTGGCGTTATGTTGGACACTTAAAATAAACACTTTTAGATATATTTACAATCCTGGACCGCATAAAGTTTCTTTGCACTTCCCCAAAAGTGTTAAATTGTGTATTGATAATACGTGTACGGCGTTTCTTCATCGTTTTAGTCGTCCAATCATCTTTTATTTACATTTGCGTTGCAAATCGGTTACATTCATATTGATCAGGAAGCCCTAGCAAGCTTCATGCAATATGGATGTAACCGATTTGCGTTCGTACCGGCATGAAAATTAAAAAAAAATACGCTGTTCAATCCCTATTTAAACTCATGGTAAATTAGGTCAATTTTACACTTGTAAGCCAAAGGAAAGATTTGTTTTAGGAACATCGCAACGAAAGCAACAGTAACTTTTCCAATGTAATCAATACATTATGTCAAACAGTGGACTTCTATACAGTTACACGTTATTCATCACATGCGTAACAGAGGTTATTATTTTTTCAACGTCTCCGCTTGGAGTTAAACCCGACACCTCTGGTTTACTCGACGCTCAACTGAATGAGCTAACGAGAAATTCTCAACAGCCGAATCCGTAGGAAGTGACTTGCGCATATAGTGTCCTTGCAAACATGATGAAAATACAGAACAAATATCACGGATCGTTTGTGACGCGAGATAGACAGCAATTTTCATTCGTGTGACGGCCAGCTTATCAAATGCTGTAATGAGAACACATATATTCACACGTATTGTAATAAGAGCATGTGCCGAAAATGTAAATATTTGTAAAAAATATGTACAAATATAACAGTTTGTTCAAAGGGAAATCATGATTGCGATGTCTATATATTTACAGAAGTATCGATTATTTGTATACTGTTTCAGTCACCAAACAGGCTGGACGGCCCTCGTGGCGAGCCTCTTCAAACAAATACAGCAGCACTCAGTCAGCGCGACCGGAAGTCTGTGTGACATCAGCTCGGAGGGAGAAGCTTGGTGACTTGACTGAGAGCATGTGCATCGTCATTTCTCAGAGAGAGGCGTGATGACGTCACTGAGAGCCGTATGACGTCAGGTTTGCGGGAGAATCATTATGACGTCACTGAGAGCCGTATGACGTCAGCATTGCGGGAGAATCATTATGACGTCACTAATTGCCTGCGTGACGTCAGCTCAGAGGGAGAGGCGTGATGACAGCTTTTGTCACTTTTAGTTTTGTGAAGTCAGTAATTATGATTATAATTATTTGATTCTTAACGGCCCACGAACACAAAAGAAATCATGAGGGACAATAAAAAGTGGATAAAGGAAATAACAGCAAACGAACGAAAAGTTAGCAGACAAACGTCAACTTGAAAAGTCAAGTAGCTATGGTAGTAATATGTTTTTGAACAGACCGACAGTTTTTAAGTAGGTTAGAATTGTAGAGATATTTACTGTTTCGAAAAGAGATTTGAGATCTGTTGTATTGTTATAAAAATTATCATGTCGGCTGAAGGTTAATACAATCTTATAACAAGTATTTTACAATAAATGGTTCGTGACATGCTATGCCTTGAGGCTGGTCTTCGCTTTTCAATAAATAGGATTGGGTAATGTATGAATGACCAAACGGAAACGGCCAAGGACAACCTCATCTCGGCGGTTTTCTCTATACCTGTGATACCAATCACCGGGTTTAGGCTTTACAGAGTGTAATCTGTTGTCTACACGTCGATTCCAATTATTTTGAAACTTTGACCTTACACTGTTTGTTATTAACGGATTAAAATCTGCAATATAAAGTTTAAAATCAACAGGTGGTAGTAATAAAACATTTGCCTTTTCATTACCTGGTGTTCCCACATGATTGGGAACCCAGCATAATCAACGTTTTGTTCCGAAGCCTCTGTAGAACCGTTAAGCAATCAGAATAGATTATTGACTTCATTACACCATTTGATTTAATGCATTCAAGGGCAAGATAGATAGCATGGGCGTTTGGTGGCCGGCATCAAATGGCGGCATCTGTTACAACCATGGCTTTCTCGACCTTATGGTCATTTTTTGGACCATTGGTATAAAGGATTGAAATTCTTTACATTTCAGCTGCAATTTCGGAAAGGATGAACGAAAGACGTGAAATGGAGTGAAAAGTCAACCTCGGGCGAAATCAAAAGCTATAGGGGAACACCAATTGTTTCGAATGATAGGATAGCGTCAACATTAATATTTGGGCGTTTTCCAAGGGGGACGAAATGCGAATACCAAAGGTTTGAGTACTGTTTGCTTTATTTTTGATTTATAGTTTCATTATTTGGTTTAACTATAAGTGAATAGACTTGATTTGGAGGATATCTTATTTCAATTAAATTGTAAATGGCAATGACAGTTTCTCTTGTGACGTCAGCATTGAAGAAAGCGTGTTAACGTCGTTGACAGGCAGTTTGACGTAAGCTCAAAAAGAGCGACGTATACTTGTTACAGAAATTCAGTCACGTCACGTCAGGGGAGACTAATGCTGACATGTAATGAGTGTCTGTGTGACGTCAGCTCGATTGTAACAGCAATTTGATGAGATTTCTTTTTTTTTTTAATTGATTATTTTTTAGACGATAAACGTCGTATGGGCCTATTCCTTTGATAGTGTGGGAAGCTGAGCATATTGGTTAGAAAGCAGGATAGAGTTGTGTCATATTTTCTGCCATATCCGTTCCTGTAAAATACACTTTTCCCGATTTAGATAACCATGCTCACTACTGCTTTTTCTTGTCCCTGTGCGTAAATGACATAACTATTCAGTGCAAAAAATGGGTGAAAGAAATGTATATCTTACACCCTCTTTCACGTGTCTAATGCCATGTACTACAATGCAGTGACGTCACGAAATCTGCAACATTCTGATGCCGCAATGCGGAAACTACGACGCACTTTTGCGGTACATGCATAGTACCCATATAAAAGAACTATATTTGTATGCGTAGTAATTTGTACTCAGTGTAGTTATGAGGTTCAAGTATGACGTATGAAAAACCGCAAGTCGATTAAAATGATAACTTTAAATATCTCGGGGAAATATTGATTTCTGCTGGCAACAATGTTACAGTTTGACGGCATAGATAATTCACGTTTTGACTATATTACTTGAAAAAAAAATTCACATAGTTTGTTTTGCTAAACTGCAAGATGCCGACCATCGTAGATTTCGTCGGAGGTGTAATATTTAATTTTGATAGTGGTTATGAGTGAAACATATTTACTTATATTTAATGGTAGGTTGATAGTGAATTTTTCCCATGTGGATCATTCATTGGGGGGAAATCCCCGGAGATTCTTAGGTTTACCCTAATTTATTATCCCTTATGAATGAATTCTGTATCAACTTTATTACATATTGAATAGCGTAAAGACATTCTCCATAGCATATACTCAATATACACTGTTATTATATCAATATCTTGATTTTATGTTTAATTAGACTAATGTTTACCTATAGAGGAAAGTGGTTACTATGTAGTGTGTGACCGGAGAATCTCGGTAACAGAAAATTGGATGTTTGTTTATAAGTTGCTTTATCTGAAATTGTTGGTAAATTGTTTTACCGATGAATGAATGTATGTATTGTTTTCTTGTTTTTATAAAATCAAATAGCTCATCACTAGATTACAATTTTTTTTTATCTTAAATCGCATTAATTTTACTTGATTTTCAAGGCATTGCCTTATATTTTTATCATGCATAAATTATTCTATATGCATTGTTTCACTTTTCTTTTATCAAACTATGAGTGCATGATATTTTACTTGCACACTGTAATAAAACTCTTAAAACCTTGCTTCATCATGAATTGTCTTTGTAACTATATTGCCTATTACTACACCGAATCTACCACAGAGTTTTAGTCCATTTGGATAAGCCTCAAATTAAAAAGAGCCCTTTCAAGTCCTAGATTTTAACCTTGTATTTAATGAAATAAATTAAACCCTACCTTTTTTAGAGTTTGCGAAACATCGCTAAGCTATATTTTCAAGCAGCATTCTATATTTTCACCTCGGATATGTTAAGAAATTTCTAAATTTATGTACGAACACGTTTCATTTAAAAAATACCCCCCTCAATATTTATTCAGAGTTGGAAATTAAAAGGGACATAGATAAGCTCTGTTGAAAGGTTTTAAAACTTGTTTACACTTAATGACGTCATCATGTACACAACTTGGTTGGAGACTATACTCCAAAGCGACATCAAAGTTGATTAATAGAGAATCTCTTACCCATAAAATAAACAACATTGCGTTTTAATCCCCACATTAAACTTTATTTAGAAATACAAGAAAAAACACGAGGGTATTCTGAAAATCAGTGTATTGTAAGCCAAGGTTGTTGTCGGTGATAAGTTAAGGGTTCTGTGTTACATGTATGTGCGTCCGGGGCCTGTTTTTATAAAACCGTTCTCGTGCTCTGACATTGTAACTCTATAAGGTCAAATGACACGGTCACAAAATCAGGTGTAAACCCCGAATACATATTCAGCTTCAATTCTCTCCTGATAGCTAAGAATGTAATGTTTGATCGATAGGTTAGAAGTCGGTGACCTGTGTGACCAGGTAGTGAGAGGTTAGGAGTGTTAAGTGTTAGAAGTATGACGTGAAGTGACATAACCTTATGCTGAAAGCCAATATATCAGGTGGCACAGTATTCTGTGGAGCCCAGATTGCTTTTGCAGTCAGTATGACGAGCTGTGTTTAATAACTCATGTTATGTTTCTGTGAAAAGACTGAAAAATCATAGGAGTATCTTAGTGGGATTTAATAAAATGTGGTTCCGGTTTATGCGAAGTCAACAAAATATCATACAAACAGGACCGGTCAAATCAGTAGCACGGTAGCACCGACCTGATATGACATACCACCCGTCCACACAGTATACAGACACCTGACATGACATACCACCCGTCCACACAGTATACAGAAACCTGACATGATATATCAACCATCGACACATTAAACCGACACCTGACACGCTACCCGTCCACACGATATACAGACACCTGACATGAGATACCACCCGGCCACACAGTATACTGACACCTGTCATGATATACCACCCGTCCACACAGTATATAGACACCTGACACGCCACCCGTTCACACAGTATACAGACACCTGCAATGACATACCACCCGTCCACATCAGTAGCACGGTAGCACCGACCTGATATGACATACAACCCGTCCACACAGTATACAGACACTTGACATGATATATCAACCGTCCACACAGTATACAGACACCTGACACGCCACCCGTCCACACGATATACAGACACCTGACATGAGATACCACCCGTCCACACAGTATACTGACACCTGTCATGATATACCACCCGTCCACACAGTATATAGACACCTGACACGCCACCCGTTCACACAGTATACAGACACCTGACATGACATACCACCCGTCCACACAGTATACTGACACCTGTCATGATATACCACCCGTCCACACAGTATATAGACCCCTGACACGCCACCCGTTCACACAGTATACAGACACCTGACATGCCATAACAACCGTCGACACAGGAAAAAGACCCCTGACATGCCATAACAACCGTCGACACAGTATACAGACAACTGACATGACACGCAACCAGTCCACACAGTATACAAACACCTGACATGATATATGAACCGTTCACACAGTATACAGACACCTGACACGTCACCCGTCCACACAATATACAGACACCTGACATGACATACCATCCGTCCCCACAGTATACTGACACCTGACATGACATACCAACCGTCCATACAGTATACAGACATCTGACACGCCACCCTTTCACACAGTATACAGACACCTGACATGACATACCACCCGTCCACAGAGTATACAGACACCTGACATGGTATATCAACCGTTCACACAGTATACAGACACCTGCCACGCCACCCGTTCACACAGTATACAGACCCCTGACATGCCATAACAACCGTCGACACAGGAAAACGACACCTGACATGATATATGACCCGTCCACACAGTATACAGACCCCTGACATGACACGCAACCAGTCCACACAGTATACAGACACATGACATGATATATGAACCGTCCACACAGTATACAGACACCTTACACGTCACCCGTCCACACATTATACAGACACCTGACATGACATACCACCCGTCCACACAGTATACTGACACCTGACATGACATACCAACCGTCCATACCGTATACAGACATCTGACACGCCACCCTTTCACACAATATACAGACACCTGCCATGATATACCACCCGTTCACACAGTATACAGACACCTGCAATGACATACCACCCGTCCACACAGTATACAGTCACCTGACATGATATATCAACCGTCCACACAGTATACTGACACCTGACATGACATACCAACCGTCCATACAGTATACAGACATCTGACACGCGACCCTTTCACACAATATACAGACCCCTGCCATGATATACCACCCGTTCACACAGTATACACACACCTGCAATGACATACCACCCGTCCACACAGTATACAGACACCTGACATTACATATAAACCGTCCACACAGTATACAGACACCTGACATTACATATGAACCGTCCACACAGTATACAGACACCTGACATGACATACCCCCCGTCCACACAGTATACAGACACCTGACATGACACGCAACCGGTCCACACAGTATACAGACACCTGACATAACATATGAACCGTCCACACAGTATACAGACACCTGACATGACATATCACCCGTCCACACAGTGTACAGACAA